GCAAATAAAAAACCAAGTTTAAGGTAGAAATATATAGTGATTGTATTGAATAAAAGTTCACTAACTTTTTTTTATAATAAAATAAAAATTTTATTAATCATGAGATCAAATCTGCAAGAAGTGCAGAACTAATAAAAGATGGAGGAGAATTTCTTCATATACAAGAATCTAAAAGATTAACAGCATACTTAGCAAGGTTATGAGTAGGAATATTAATCGACCTAGAAATCTATGAAACTTCCCAACACATGAAATCTTGATATAAGACAATGGTATCCTCAATCAACAAACCACATGATGAATCGTCAGATTCCAAATGGTCCAACATTTTGATAACTTTTTGTGAATCTCCTTCCAAAATAATCTTATTGAAACCCAAACCATGTAGTAATTGAACAGCATGTTTGGCCGCAAACCATGTAATTCACTAAGTTTAACAAAGTAAAAAACAAGGACTTTGAGGATAATGTCAAATTATTTCATCAATCGTAGCTTATTTACCCACATGTCGACCTATTTTTGGATGACAGGCAACCTAAAACAAAACGATCTAGAATTAATCCCTCCTTTTACTTCCCAATTTCCTTTCGTTTCCCTCAACAAAAGTTAATCCAAAACAAAAACACTTCATCCCTCCATCCCCTTTCCTTTCCTTTTTCATCTTTCAAAGATGCAATGCCTTAAACATCGCGCTTCAAAAGAAAAAGAAAAAAAAAAAGAGTCCAAATCATTGGAGTTTGAGGAGAGTTACTTCATTGAGCACTCTTCACCCGTTCTCTTTATCTTTGCCTTTTAAACAACTACTTTTTTTTTTTTTTTGTAAGTGACAGGTTTTAAATTTAGAATCTTCTATTTACAATCCTCTCGTCTTACCACCAAACCCAAGCATTCCCCCTTTTGAACAGCCCATTAACATGTATCTGAAAATTTTTTTTTTGAATTAGTATTTTATTTATTTTAAGGAAATTTTGGCAGAGTTTCCCCTTATAAATGGACGAAACTCCCTGCCAACAAACCCAATTCAAGAAAAATTACATATGGCACTTGCTACATTCTAACTTATTCTCCAGCAGCAATAAATTCCTCTCAAGAGTACAACGTATATATTAAGTTACTTGGGTGGGGATGGAAGTTCTACTCCCAAGCAATAAGGTACCTTAGCACTTTCGAAGGGAGGGGAGACCAATCCTGTCCAGCCTAAAGGCCCCTCGAGATTGAGTAGGGAGTTCCGAGAACTGATGATAGGTTCTGGTACAGCCTTCTTCACAGCCAATGTTAGATAAGCCATCCGCGACTTTATTACTTTCTCGAAAACAATGGGAGATGCTAACAAAATGGGACGACAGCTGAAGGAGGGATCGGATTTCCGTGTCAATACTCCATGGGTAGCGAGTTGCTCGTTGCAGGACCTGAACGAGCACCAAAGAGTCCACTTCAAGTTGCACTCTCACATATCCACATGAAATGCACAAGTTAACCCCAAATAGAAGGGCCTTCACCTCAGCTTGGATACTAGTACAATGTCCCAGAAATGTGGAGAAAGCGAACAGGAGCCGCCCCTCACTATTACGCAACACGCCACCCCTTCCAGCCCGTCCAAGGTTGCCTCTAGAGCAGCCATCCGTGTTGAGTTTAAGATGACCCGGAATAGGCCTCACCCACTTCACCAACCTAAACAAATCCGGCTTCCGAAGAGAGACAAGAGAAGCATAAAAAGCGGGCCATGACGGGAAGGCCCAAGAATATCCCAGGAACTTCAGGTTGAAAAGATGCCGTATATCATCAAGAATAAACCCACAGATAGCGGTAGGACTGTGAACTTTGTCATCAAACCGCGCCTTGTTCCTAGCCTTCCAAATGTTCCAGCAAATCAGGGAAGGGATGATCCGATGGGCAAACTGTATGAATGCATTTTTACACGAGGAGAACCACCAACTGGACATGTGACCCCGTACAGAGGCACCCACATACAAGACCCCTGCAGGAGAGCCAAAAAATTTCCACACCACAATGGCTACCTCGCCCCCACAAAAAATATGATCGAGAGTCTCAACCGTAGCCTCAGTACAACAAAAGCACTTTGAGGGGCCATATATACCAAATTTACATACCGTAAAGTCCAATGGCAGTCAGTTTCGCAATAGTCGAAGCATGAAGAAGGAGATTTTCAGCGGAATAAGGTGGTACCACACCCTAGAGAAGATAAAAGACCGCGGCATATGATCACGCACCAACTCGAATGCCGTGTTTAGTGTGAAGATCCTAGACTGAGAGGGTGTCCAAACCATAGCGTCCTTGTCGTCCTCCTCAATCCTCGGGAGAGCAAACCGGGTAATCTCGGCTACTATGTCAACAAGCACCCACACCGACAGCAGTCGAGAATTCCAACCGCCACTTATAAAGAAATCTGAGACCCTGTGATCCGATACACTTCCTAACCGTGAGGACAAAGACCCAGAACCTAGCCAGTTATCGAACCAGAAATGTGAGTTCCCAGAGCGAATAACAAAAGTGATATGTCGCTCAGCCAGATCCCGCACCTGGAGCATCCTACGCCACGCGTTTGAAGCCCCCACTGAGGCCTAGGGCTGTCAACGACCCGGACCCGGACCGGATCCGTCAAATTTATCCAGGTATGGGTAGGGATTTAGTTCCATTATCTGGACCCGGATCCGAATCCGTTTTGTCAAACAAAAAAAGAGTCGGATACGAAATATAGTATTCCGACCCGTATTGGACCCGGATCCGAATATAAATGGATTAATAATTTAAAATATATATATTTATTAATATAATTTGATTAGGATGATATATTTGAGTAATCAATATAATTGGACCCGGATCCTAATCAATATAATTTGATTAAGGTGATGTATTTGAGTAAGGTTAGTTTGATTTTTTTTTGTATTAGTTAGAAATTAATTTATAAATATATGTTTTTTTCTCATTTTTGTTAGGAATTATAAATTTTGTTAGTTTTTTTCGAGTATTCCCGGATCCGGATCCAGAACATAAAGTAAAAGACCCGTTGGGTAAACGGGTCGGATCCGGATCCAATATAGTGTACCGGGTCCAGGTCTGGAATAATGAATTCTGGCCCGAACCCGGCCCGTTGACAGGCCTACTGAGGCCCCCACCATACCTGGATGCGCATGAGCAACATATTTAGCCATCATGAAGTTAGCCCAAAGGGTCGAATTCTGTCAAAATCTCCACCATAGCTTCACAAAAAAAGCCTTAAGAACATCAGTCATGGAGCGTAACCCCACCCCACCCTACCCTCCTCCTTGGCAGCACAAAGTATCTGAGAATTAATTACAAACTACCCTTTGGAAAAGTTCTTAGTCGGGTAGGTTTAGCCCAACTTTTAAACCTTTCAGCATTACCATTATGCTAAATTAACGCCAGAACCCCCAAGTGGAATCTGATATTTGTCATGTACGATATCAATGTTGCAACAAAAGAATAAATCACCCGAATTATATAAATGATCAACAAACCGTTGCCTTTATGAAAGGCATACTAGTCCTCCTTTTGTAAATTGCAATCACATTTCAAATTCTATGATTCATTTTTTGACTACTTGATCTTTTGGTATATTAAATCAAGCTTGATATTTTAGAACATTCTATGTTAGTATTCAGTTGTTTTTGGTGGAGCCAAGTCTTTAGTAGTTTTCTGATTTAGTAGTTTGACTATTATTCTAGGTTATTTTTTCAATTTTTCCTTGTTTTACAAGTCATGTCGACTATAATTAGGGTGTCTAGTTATTGTGTTTAACTAAGAAGAGTAAGCAGATGAAAGTCTTGTTCTTATTGATTAATATTATATTATTGATTTTACTCTAAATTAGCTTCCCTACATATGTTTATGTGTCAAAGCCTTGGGTTGGTGCCTGCCTGGAGTGTTCGGCTGATCGAGTAAAAACCACGAGATTTGACCTTGGAGTAGTTAGTGACGAATGGAGCGTAAAATTGGTCCAAAATTGTCAAATTGATTGTAGATATGGGAATGGAGATTGGAGAAGAATTTCCTCAATTATAGTTATCAAGATTACAAAGTGATGAATCTTTTTGAGACATTATCCAAGAAAGTCAATGAATTGACATCAAATTATATCAATAAAACTATCTATCCAAGTGCGTAGATCATTATAACATTCGAAAATAGAATAAGCGACAAGATGAATCTATCCAAGTGCATGAAATATTACAAAAACAAAAGTTTTTGAAAATGAAGAACTAGTACAAAGTGATACTGGTAGAGTATGCAAGGGATATTATTATTCATAATTGTATTGGACCTGATTCAACAGAGGCAATATTGACATATTTACTCAAGCCTGATATTTTAGAAGTTCCTATATCAATATTTAGCAATTTGGTTAAGTCAATTTTTTAGTAATTTTTTGATTTAGTAGTTGAAGGATTATTTTATGTTATTTGTTGTGATGATTCTTCCTTGTTTATCAAGTCATGTTGACGATGCCTAGATTGTCTAGTTATTGTGTTTAGTAGAGAAGGGTGAGCCTGTAAGAATCTTGTTCTTCTCAATTAATAATATTTATTTCTTTTCTCCTATACATATTTTTTATGCATAACTTAGCCTCTGTTATGTTTTTGTTATATATATATTTTGAATGAACTAAATTATTCTCCCCACCCCTCTAATTTGTTGGGCTCTATATGGTCGATTACCTAAAACAAGTATTTATATGCCTAGACGGTTGGTTTATTCGGTCAGGCAAATTAGAAGATCAAAGTGAAAAGCATACATGTTTCAGCAGGGCATAATGAACCTCAAATCTATGGGAAACATTTTGGGCTTAGAGATGGATTGTGTCGTTTCCTATTTGATCTCAGTTCCACTTCTTAATAACATGCAAGTATATTCTTTAATAGGATAATATAAAGTAAAAAGAACTACAAATAGAATATACAAAAGATTGTTAAATAACATTTTATTCCAGTAAGTGGAATAGGACTGAATTATGTCTGGATGATGTGCCTCCATGCTTGTAAACACATTTTCTTGCGTGCAATCGTGGAGTGTAAAAATCCCAACTCCCACAGAACCCTCTTGTCTGCCTTCTCTAAATTCTCCCAACAAAGAGCTTCTTGGATCCAAATCATAACTATTAAGTACTAGGAAGGAGGTGTACATCATCCTTCTCCACTATATCCTCCATTTTATTTAATTATGCTCCACAATTTCAAAGGAATTTGTGCTTGTAAGGAGTAGCTGATTGAATTCTGTCTTTTCTCTTCTGGAGAAACCTCTGGAGCGATTTCCTTAATGACAAGCCTGAAGAACTGTGTAACTGAACTTTCATGATGGATGGTACTGCACCTGTGAAGCTAGACAATTTATCGTCCACTTCTCTTCTTGCAAGCCAAAGGATGATTATTGCCTATACCGAAAAATAAAGCAGCTAGTCCATTATAGAAAAATTGGCATTCTAGTGTCAATTTAACATTGTCTCACTTGTTAACAAACAAAGCAAGTACATCGATTAATCTTTGTTACATTTACAAGGTAAAGATTCTCCACTCTTAGGTTGCATTACATGTGCAAAAAGTGAATTTCAAAATTGAATAGAGGCCAGTTAAGTTTCTAGCTTCCAGAACTACCAGCATAAAAGAATCTTTGTTTTGTCAATGTCAGAAATGTTGCCATGACATGGAATTACAATATGATAGAAGATCAGAAGGGAAAAAAGCACATAAATGATGTCTTTACCTGAAGTTCAGTTGCATCACAAATGCAGACGGATCGCATGTTGTGTAATACTGTGATCTGGTCTCTTCTTGATGAGCAAGCCCTGCAGAAAGAAAACCTAGCCATGCATTGATGCGAATGTGACAATGTAGGAAAATTGAATCCTTTCTAGTTAAGAACATGATGCAGAACTCAAGAACTTTTAGGCCCCTTTCAAAAGAAAAATCGCAAAACCATTTTTGCAAGGCAGACTTCTGATTTCTTAATTAGTACGTTGTTCTCAGCATGATGATAATTAAAAAACGAAAACAAAAAAAAAAAATTCCCCCATCATCCAAGTTGGCCTAGTTTGCTTGTGAAAATTGTACTTTAATAGTTAAGTCTCAGAGATAAACATGCAAGCATCTAGCTAAGTAGAAATCTTCACCTGCATTATAAATTGAAAAGAATATTTTAAAGTCAGAATCTCACAGTTTAATTGATTACAACAACAATTGATGTCAGAAGCATTGTACTCTTCTAAATTAGACTGGCTAGAACATCAAAATTCTCTAGTCCTTGACATACTACCTGTGACATTCCCCCCCCCCCCCCCAAAAAAAAAGGTTTTGTATCAACACTTAATCAAGCCTTTGTTTATTATCTTAATTAATCATGCACAAAAACCTTAAAATCCTTGGCTCGTAAATTCATATACATATCGAAGAAAGCACGTTTAGAACATAGAACCAAGTAAAAAATAGAGTTAGAAATGACAAACTTACTCAGATTGGCTGTGGAAATCCGTGGATTCAGAGGAAGCTGAGGCTGGGGAAAGTGGGAGTTCGAGAGTGCACTTTCTCATCATTCTTCTCTTTAATACTCTCTTCCAAAAATTTTTCTATCTCCTGATGCAATAATCATATCTAGGGAGTATTGGGAGGCTTAAGCTTCATTTCACTTTGATGTAATGAAGGCAAGAAAAGTAACAAAAAGGAATGAAACAGCCAAAGAAGTCAGAGAAAGCAATAGCTGAACAAGTCGACGGAGACCAGGAAAAATCTCAGCTGTTTTATAGGAGTCCAGCAAGAAAGTGTACTAGAAGACGTGAATAACTTGACAGAAACAAGAATATTAGTGTGCCCAATATAATAGGGCATGTGGAACATGTGTTTTACGCGTGCAAAAATACCTCTGATGTTTCTCTCAACCTTTTTTCCATTACATCAACCCCACCCCAAGAAAAATCCCTAGTCCCACTTCCAACTTACCCCCTGTCTGGCACCCTTTTTTCTTGGTTGACCTATTAAGCATTTATAAAAGCTTTAGTGGCCACATTCTTTTCTTATTTCTGGATATGTGTTTCCTAAAATGAAAATTTCGTTTCTGTCAAGATAGATAGGTTCTCTTGATTAGTTTCGCCTACTTTGGTGGAAGAAACAAGTGATTCCATCGTGGGAAAAAAAAAAAGTAACGTCTAGATATGCATGTATGTATATGTTGTAATAGTGAGAGGAAAAATATTTTTTAAGACAACAAATTTATTCTGTTTCACACAATAAGAGCACCTTTAACAAGACTAAATTGTCCAATAGCTAATGTTGACTTAATAAATTAGTATTTGGAGTTCTAGATCTTCCAAGTCGTTATGAATAACAAGAAGTGTATATCGTGAAAAGAAGTTATGAATAGAACTTAGAGACTAATCCCTAAACGTTAAAAACAAGAAGCAGAAAAGATTTTTACTAAAGATTGTTTGAGATGATTCATTGTTAGGATGGCCCAATGTTTCTTATTTTTAAAATGTACTAGTTGAGCTAGTAACACTATACTTTGTTTTACAAAGTGTAAAAAGGTCACTAGGCTGTGTCCAAAAGTTATATATCAGTTTCAGTATGCACAACTTCCATATTGTTGTTTACTGTGTGAACTAATTTTGGTCATAGAAAAAAATTCTAAGTGATAATTGTTCGTGGCTCTATCCCATAAATGAATTTAGAATCTTTTTTGGTTTGATACCACTTTTTTTTAATTGATGAAATTTAAAACAAAACGCTTGCCAATTAATTGAGTTTAAGGGATCCCCTCCCCCGTGTGTGTGTGTATATATATATATATCAACTTCATGCTACATAACAAATATATTACCATCACTTTTATTCTAATAATACAGTCACCTTAAAATGATGGATCGGATTTTATTCTATTTTTAGAAAGGCACATTGATTTGGTTTTTCAAGTGCAAATAGCATTATGCAATTTGATTTGGTTCATATATAATTATCCAATTGGCAATCATTAAGAAAAAAAAATTCAAGTGTTAATTTTTTGAAAAGTGTAAATAATTTGAAAAAGTGTATAGACACAAGAAAAAATAGATGTAGATGTGTACATTCAAATAATCAGTTGTAATTAGTTTAGGAGTACTTGCAAGTACATATTAGACACGCGTTAAAAAAGTACTTCAAATGTTTAACTTCAAATGTATTATACCAATCAAATTCAGAGTAGTATCCATTTTACTTTCAAAAGATGAAATCACAAGAGAGGAGAAACGAATGTCTATATCAGCCGCAAATTTACACCAGAAGCGTGAAAACTACGCTCTTCTCTTTTGGGCTAATGTAGTTTGAACATTTCCACACATAAAGAGGCAATGCTCCCATTTTTGGTTCTTGAACTGTTCTTAATTGCTTCAAGCAGTGGAAAAGTACGCAATGTATTTGATGGTATTTGAAATCATTTCAACTTTTTTAATGTCATATAGGTTTCATTGGTGTATGAGAGGATGCAAAATTTAGGCCCTCCCTAACATTTATCTTGACCGTGATGAAAACTTCTGGTGCTTGGATGGTATTAAAAACTACAAAATAAAAATTAAAAAACCTGAAATATTGGCAGGTATTCTGGTAATCGGAAGGAAGTTTAGCAGTTTTACAAAAGGATAGTAAATAAAATTATTAAGCAATTTTTTTTAAAAAAAAAATTTGTACCAATATCTGATCCGAATCAAATTTAACTAGTCATAGGAAAATACTAGCTTCCAATAAGCTGAAACATTTATCCTCAATCTATTACTACATAACAATATCACTCAGATATTTAATACAATATCTCTTGTTGCATCTTTGCAGGCTTGCGAAATTTAAGATGTACCAATTTTTGTTCTCATATCTAAAATGGTTGCTTGCATTTTGACCCCTCAACTATTTCAAAAAAATCACACTTTGTGCCCTTAAACTTTCAATTTTTATAATTTATTAACTTCAACTTCTAATTCTGTATTGACTGTAACAAATTAAAATCTGACAAGAAGTAGATTTCATTTGATGGGTGATTGGTACAAAGACCCTTCTCAACCCTTGTTCTTATTTAATGGTAAAATGCCACTTTTTTTGTCAAAAAAAATGCCAAATTGCACACATTTAATTGTAAATTGCACCCTTCTCAACTCTTATTCTTGTATGTTAGAGAGAGGGACATGGGGTGAAAAGTGTGAAATGGAATAAATGAGGGGTGCAAAGTGAAAACTTTGGTAGCTCTTTCATTGAGATCATTAGCAGAGGGCGCGGGGCATGTGAACTTTGACTCTGATTTATACACATTCACATGGCACGTGCAGGCAATATTGGGCAAAACAATGACCACTCCATGTGCCATGCACAAGGGACCTTTTGTTAAAATGGATGGATTGGAAGTGACGTTTCTGTTGAGATGATTGGATTTAAATCCCACAGCATATATCAGCATTCAGCTCACCATTACAACTGCCATCTAATTGAATTAAAACGGGTATTGTAATCAAGAAAAATGTGATTTTTCCCTTTGTGGAAAGTTAGATATGCTTTTGCTTTAAAGACATTTCAACTTATTTTGTCAACCACATTATAAATGTCACAAACAAATCACGCAAACTTGTAATTGCCACTAGTTGGATCTTATGCTGGCAAGTCTAGCTTCATGCATAACACCAAAGGAAAAATTATGAGAGTGAGATTGCATTTAATAAAACTGAAATTTGAAATTTGAAAATGTTAAATTTTTGAGTTGTTAAGTATTGAAATCTTAATGCATATTTTGCATTAACTAATAAGTCAACAGTTTCTCTCTTATTTTTTAGAGTAAAATTTGCTTGTTGATAAGGCATAAATTATACTATCTTTACATGTATAAGTTGCTAGTTAATTATGATATTTGAACTCTAATTTAAATAGAAACTACTTAATTTTATTCTTATATTATTCTGATAGGTAGGGAGCTCAATTGGAGAGAAAATGAACCAATTTGGCAAGGGTAATCGCGCAAAAGAGCAATAACACACGACAAGCAAAATCGGAACGAAAAGCAAACAGGGGCTGTTGAGTTACATAGGATCCATGGGCGGATCCATATCCGGCATCGGACATTGAAAGGGACATTACACCAGCCTTCTTCGGATTCTAATATTTTGGGAGCTTCGAAACAATTTAAGGGCCGAACTTCATTGGAAAACATGCTAAAACTCATTTTTTGGTTGCTTTTCAAGACCTAATCCTACCATACTTGGATGACAACTTTAGGAAGCTATAAATTGGAGTACTTTAGATTGTTTTAGGAGGAAAAAATGCTAGGTTAAGGTTTAGTTCATCCTTTTTACATGTTTTTCTTTAGAGATCAAGAAGAAGAGGTGGAAGAATCATGAAGCAATCAATATGGGGATTGATGCTGGACAAACTAAGACGTTTTCTTTACTTTATTCTCCAATATTGTAGCTATTTCTTGAATTCTTTGTTTTAATTATGAATATATTGAACTAGTTCCATTCTAGGGTTTGGGTTCTATGAAAAAGATCGGATTATTTAATCTAATTAATTTCTTGACTTTTACCTTAATTTGTCTATTTTGTTTTAATTATATGATTTTGATTGGCCACCATATACACGCTCTTAGGGTTTATATTGAACTAAGAAAGGATATACAACTATGCACTAATTAGATAAACATATTCAGCCGAATTACGAGAGTAACATAATTATGTCACCTAAGATCTTAAAAGATTTAATCAAATACTTATGATCTCGATATAGGTGTGAGATTTTATTAAGCACAACTTAAATGTGTCGAGAGATAATTTAAGGTACTTGCGTGTGATACGTTCTTGACTTGTTAAGAAAAAAACTAAATAATTAACTCAAACTCTGGATCAATATCTAATATCCTAATCCTTTGTCAATTGTTTTCTCAATCCTATTTTGTTCAATTTGACTATTTATTTTATTTCTTAGTTAGTTATTAAATCTCTTGAACTTGAATATTTATTAATCTTCACAGTAATTAAAATAGGAAAATTAACCCATTCCTAAGGGTTCAATCCATGAAATACTCCAAGTGATTTATTACTACGATTGACCCTGTGCGCTTGTAAGAAATTGTCCGTCAAGTTTTTGGCACTATTGCCAAGGACAACGCTTAATTTTTTTTTTTTTTTTTTTTTGCTTATGATTTGTATCTATACTTGATTTTTTTTACTTAAATTTTATTTGTTATCTTGTAGGCACTAATCACCTTGGAGTTCAGCAAGTTGGGACTTCATTTAAGGATGGTAGAAAAGAATTGGAATGATCAAAGGCATGTGATACTGCCAACTATCTACCTATAAGAGTTCATTTGTGGGGCATCCAATGCCTAATAATCACAGCATCTCTTCAATGTATTCGATTGAGTGATAGGGCTAGAAATTATGAGTTAAAACCATTCATTTTACCATATGGTCTTTCTAATGATGATCCTCCCTCTTTCATTCGTGAGTTTTATTTGGTGGTACAATGTTTTCCGTCTCATGGAATTACAAAAGACTATCTTTGTATGAGGTGTTTTTCATTTTCTCTCAAGGATCATGCAAAATCATGGTAGTTAAATTTGCCAAAGGGATCTTTCAGAATATGGGAAGATATTTATAATATCTTTATGATGATAAAGTACTATTCACCTCAGAAAACGCTTGATTTGAGAAACAAGATTTATACATTCTCTCAAGTGGAAGGCAAGCCAATTCATGAAGCTTGGGAATGGTTCAAGTTGTTACTTGCTCAATGTTCTCATCATCAGTATTCCTTGGCATCACAAGTACAATTCTTTTATGATGGCTTGACATTTACAACCCAAAATATGGTGGATTTCATAGCTGGAGGATATATTAGAGACAAGGCCCTAGAAGAATTAGTTGCAGTATATAAGTAGCTCTTTAGTAATTCACAACAAAAAGTAGATTAGTGTAGAAGAGTAGTTGTTCGTGAGAAGAACACGTTGTCGGAGTTGGGTTTACAAGTTGCTAAATTGAGCCGCCAGGTGCAGGTGTTATCCAATTGTATAGCTCAACCACAAGACCCATATTCATATTGTAATATGCATGGTCCAGTTGTTTCTTCTAATTACAATAGAGCACCACCAACTATGGCTGAAGAAGAAAACTTTACAAGAGCTTATGGTGTCTAGCAAAGGGATGCCTTTGACATATATAGTTCAGGGTGGGCAAATCACCCTAATTTCTCATGGAAGGATCCTGGAGTTGGACTTGCTAAACCACCAGAGTTTTTAAATCAGCAACAAGAGCTTCAATGTCAACCCCAACCTCCCTAAGAAAGAAATCCTAGTGTGAAGAAGATGACACTTCAATATATGCAGAAGATAGAGTAAAGGATGGACCATTTTGATAGTTTAGCTCAATCTCAACAAGCATCAATTCAAAATCTTGAAAAGCAAGTGGGTCAATTGACAAAGGTGATAACTGAGAGAAAATTGGAAAGAATACCACACAACACAGAGATAGACCGTATGGAGTCTACTATGGCATTATTCCTTTGTTTAGAATAAGTGGTGGATGATCCAAAAAATGAGCAAAAAAAGTATACCCAAGGAGAACGATGAAATAGATGACAAGATTGATAAGGCTCAAGAGAAGATACATGGTTTGGGCAAGGAGGTTCTAGTTGAACATCAATATATTAAGATGCCCAATGTTAAAACTTATGTGGCACCCATTACTTTTTCTTAATAGTTAAAGAGTCGTTATCAAGGGTTCTTGGAGAAGTTACAAAAGCTACACGGGGATATTCCAATTGTTAAAACTATTGCCAATATGCCCTCTTATGCTAAATTTTTTAAGGAGATCATGTTTAAAAAAAGGAAGTTGAAGGCATCTGCAAGAGTTCTGGTTATTGAAGAATGGAGTGCAGTACTTTAAAATCATGTTCCAATCAAGATGAAGGATCCAAGGAGTTTATTATTTGCAGAATATTTTAGTTGAAAGGTGCATGTGCGACCTTAGTTCTCGTGTTAATTTAATACTTTTATCTTTTTTTTTAGGAAATTAAAGTTTGCTGAACTTGTATACACAACAGTGATTTTATAACCGATGATAGGTTGCAATTTGTTAAAAAATTTATGATTAATTTCCCCTTTATTCTATCCAAATATTATTTTAATTGTTGGATTCTACTTATATTTGGTATTTGGTATTAATTGTAGGGAAGTTGAGCAAAAAGTGATAAAAGTGGTGATTTCCCAGCAATTGCCATTGAGTACAGATGATTCGGGATTTGCGTGTGGAAGTTTCCTAATTTGAGTCAAATACTGAAGAGCCTCTGGTGGAAGATTTGGAAATTATTTTTATTAGTTATAGGAAATAATTAGGAAACATGAGACATTATATTTTGTAGTTTCTTTCTTTTAATTAGAAAATACGTTCTATTAGTAGTAGATGATATCAAGTAGGAAAGGGAGAACAGGAAACACCGGATTCCGTTTGATTAGTACCTCAGCTAGGCGCAAAACGAGGGGGTGACTCTTTGCACAAAAAAAAGAAACAAAGCAGCCGCTTGGCTTTTCTTTCTTGATTATTCTCCTTTGTCAAATGCTAGTACAAATGGTTTCAATGAATTCGTGTGGTTTCTTCTCAATGATGCAAGGCTAATTTACTTTTCTAATCGAGGAATAACAAGAATTTGATTCAATTACATCTATGAGATCTAATTATTTTATTAATTTCTTTTATTTGTTAGTATTTATATGTTTTCTAGTTTAACTTCTCATAGTTGTTAGTTCCTTTGATATCAAAGGCGCTTGATATTTAATTCAACCTAACGAACTATTGCAAGTTAGGACAGTTAAATCTATAATTGTTTAATTGTCCTAAATTAATGGCGACTAATGTGATTGGTTTCATGTTAGGGAGATATATGATCTAATTTAAATAAACCCTGATAATGTGTTTATTGATTAGTATAGGGCTTTTCTAGTTTCTAATGCAATCAAAAAATTAAATTCTACAGGTGTACCTAAAATTATTTTTTGGTTAGGAAAGTAGTAAACTGACCTATCTTAACTATCGAAACACAAAGAAAGAGTTGGTTGTCATCGCTTATTTCGTAACTATAACCTACTTATTAATGAATAAATGAAATAATTCTTACATCAATGAACAGTTGTATGAACCACTTCCGGAGTTATTTCCTTGGTTAGAGCTTGTTTATCCTTGATTTGAATTTACTTTGCTTAGTTTAATTATTTTTAGTTCACTTAGTTACGTATTTTTAATTTCAATCTTCCAAACTCCCCCAATTAAAATTTTCACTTGAGAAGAAACAAATTTTTCCCTAATCCCTGTAGAGACAACCCTACTTAACACTATAATCGAACAAATATTCTTGTGAGTAGGGTTTTATTATTGCATAAACCCGACACTTGTCAATTTTTAGCGACGTTGGCAGGGATTGGCGTTAAAAAATTTGTTCCTTTTTCTTAGTTTTTTTTATTTTATTTTCTGCTATTTTTGCTAGTTTATGCATCGTTCTTCTCGTATAGGTGGTTTAATTTTTATCCCGAGATTGAGAAGATAGTGAGTAGGCTACGAAGAGAGACCAGAATACGGAAGAGAGAATAGTCATCTATTGCATCTCCAAGGCTTGTAGGAGTTAAATCAAGATTGTTATATTGTTGGTATTGGTTTCCTAGTCGGTTGTGGTTTTTAAGTCCATGTACAATTGTATTTCGGAAGCTAAGTTTTAGGAGACTAAGTAATCTATATATACCACTACTAGTAGCCTCTTTCGGTGTACCGTGAGTTGAGAAGAATAAGATACATTGGTGCCTCCTAGAGCTTTGCTTGTTTCCGCCTCTTGTCCTTGCTTTTTCCTTCGGTTATCGTTTCCGCTGCAATACCTATTTCTTTGACTTTGAGTTTTGTCTTGAATTGTTTTATCCTGTGGGTTCTATTCCTACAAAGTGGCATCAGAGCTTTGCTTGAGATCTTGAGAAATTAAAATATGGATCCAAATTATTTGCACAGTTGTCATGTTTTTATCTTCGATGGTAAAAACGATTTCGAGGTTTGGAGGTCAATGATGAAGAATTTTTTCCAAAATATTGGAGTTTGGAATATTGTTGAAACAAGATACACGGAACCGGTAGAAGGTATAGAATTATCAAGCGATGCAGTTAAAGAATTAGAGAAAAATAGATAGTTGGATTGCAAGGCAATGTACTATCTCAACATTTAGATCCAGTTGCATATTGCCAAAAATTTATACATGCAAAGTCGGCAAAAGAGGCTTGGACAATTTTAGTGAACTCAAATCGAGGTGCCGCTAACGTGAGAAAAATCAGATTGCAAGAACTTATGAGACAATTTGAGTTGGCCCAGATGAAATCCACGAAGTCAGTTAAAGATTTATTGGTACAATTAAAGAAATTGTCAATGATATGGAGTCCAATGGTGAGAATTTGGAAGAAGTTAGAGTTGTTGAAAAAGTCTGAGATCTTTAACTGCCAAATTTCACACCAAGAAGACGGTTCTTGAAGCCACAAAGGACCTTGACAATTTGTCACTTGCTGAATTGGAAGGTGAATTGCTGACGTATGAGATGTCCCTGAATCAGCAGCCATCGAATATAGTAGAGGAGGTCTTACAAGCCAAGATGGATCCACTAAAAGGAAAAAAGGAGGTGAATCGTATGGACACAAATCAAAGGGACTAGAACTTCAGAGGTAGAGGATGTGGAGGCAGAGGTAACTTTCCTGGTCATGGAAAACGTAATTATTCTTACAATACCAGAAACAATTCTAATAGGGATCAGAAAAATAATCACCAGTAGAATCAAAGAAATAATTTTCAAAGGCGTGATAGATCTAATGTCCAATGTTATAACTGTGGTAAAATTGGACATTACCAGAATGAATGTTGGTCTAATAAAGATGTGCATGCTAAAGTGGTTGAACATAGTAGTGATAGAGAGGAGACCTTGTTGTTTTCTAGTTCTATATTTGAAGAGTCTATGAAGAATAATTGGTTTATTGATTCTGGTTTTAGTAATCATATGTGTGGTAAAAAAGAGATGTTTTCTGACCTGAATGAATCTTTTCATGCATCTGTGAGATTTGGAAACAATGAAAAAGTGTCTGTTCTTGAAAAAGGAAAAATCAGAATTATCTTGCAAGATGGGTCTTCAAATTATATTTCTGATGTTTTCTATTTGCCAAGTTTATATCATAATTTATTGAGTTTGGGATAACTGTCTGAGAAAGGTTATGATCTGCATTTTAAATATGTTGATGGCACCATAAGTGATGAGAAATTGGCAACAATCCCAAACTAATTTCTAAATTTAGGGAGGCCATGATTAGTCAATTTGAGATGACAGATTTGGGATTGATGTCTTATTTTCTTGGTATTGAGGTTCATCAGTTGGATGATGGAATTTTTATCTCACAAAGGAAGTATGCAAGTGATATTCTGAAGAAGTTTAAAATGGATATGGCTAAACCAATGATGACGCTGGTTGAAGAAAAATTGAAATTAACCAAAGATGGTACCGGTGATTTTGTTGATGCTACTTATTTTAGGAGGTTGGTGGGGAGTCTCAGGTATTTAACTTCTACGAGACCTGACATCACTTATGGAGTTGGTTTGATTAGTAGATTCATGGAATCTCCACGCCAGTCTCACTTGCAAGCTACTAAGAGAATTTTGAGATACGTTCAAGGTACGTAATCTGACGGTATACTTTATTCGTCTTCACATGATAACAACCTTGTTGGATACACTGATAGTGAT